TAATATATAAAATAAATAGCACTCTACCATTCGACAGCTTGGGGTATATGTATATGTTCTACATAATTTTGTAAGTATGTAGTATGTAGTAGTATTAGTAAGTCTCACCACCAAATTGGTAGGCATCGTAATTCAAGGTAGCTGTCTAGACTGGAACAAACTTTCTTGTCATACCTACTTACCTTTAATGTGTATTCATATAATATACATACATATATAATAATTGCCTACATCCATACGCCTGGTCGTTTTCTTCACTTACCTTTCTATGCCCTTTCCAGCCTTTCATCAAATCAATTATGAAATAAAGTTTGTGTAAGCGCTCTGGATTTAATATAGCTCTTAGTAAATAGACCATTAATACATAATACATTTTAAGCCCAAGTCATTTACCTAGAGAAAAAAGAGTGTAGAAATACTATAAATGTGTGCTTTCATTATTTCCAAACAATTAGAGTGGAACGAATGTACTTAAATGATAAAATAAAAAATAAAAAACACTGTTGACACATTTTACAGAAATAAACATTTATATATTCTTACACAAAATGAAACAATATCCAAATATATTCGAAACTTTTGTCTTTGTCGAAGGTTTTTTTGATAACGTTAAGCGCCCGCCTACAATGTCGTTTGTCATGTTTTCACTCGATAAAATTTAAATTGATAGGTACAATCGCGAAAGCAAGAACAAATAATCCACACATTATACCGCAAAGCTTTTGCATTTTAGTTTGCCTTTGATTTATAGTCACGAAAAGAAAGTATTCGAGCACGTTCACAGCATGTCAGTTGGAAGAAGTATTTGTAAATTGACTCAATTTATCTTCTCCCATACCTTTCTAAAGAACTTATATATATAGATGAAAATATATTTGTTGCTGTCATCAATATTGGGACTTCAATAAGAGAGAAGCAGTTGAATTCTTCCTGAGAAAAAAAAAAAAAAAAAAAACGAATTAGAGTTCCCTGAGACTCGCTTTACTTTAAGATATATATTTAATGTAAGGATTAAGAGCAAGATTAATACTGTTCATGGCCTAGCGACACATTTTAAGTAGAAAGTTTTTCCCTACCTGGACAATACTCATATAGAGCAATCTGTTGAAAAGTTCTGCTCACTCCTTTTAGTCCACATTAAAGGTAAAAATGAGTTACCTTCAGCTAAATTTGTGTTCCTAACTAGCTGCACTTCAAGCATGACTAACTGGACCCCAGCTGTTGCACTCGAAATCACAGTCAAAGTTTTTCCCTCTTTCTATATGGGAAGTAGAGATCTGAAGAACGGTTCCACAATCACTGAACCGTCAACAAGAACAACAATCACAACAGCAGCTATGACTTCAAGTTGTTCAGTTGCTGCACTCTGAGCACTCTGCGTGTATCTTTGAGATACATTCACTTACTGCCTCAATGTGCCTTGTGCTCTATGGTCATAAATGAGCAGCCAAGCATGACAGCGCGCACTCACAGCGGCATCCGCAAAACCTTCACTTAGCCGGGTTCTGAGCAAACCAAACCAACCAAGTTCGTTGTTCTCACAACTTTATCGAGCTCTTGCGCCGTCTCTGACTCTGGCTCCGGCTCTGGCCCCCTTTTGTGTGGGGCCTCTAGCTGCGGATGCCGTGTGGAGTGTGTGTGGCTGCGACACTCATAACGTGTGCATAACTTGTACTTTGTATCACAATTCTTTAAATGCCTTTCATTCAACATTATGAGGCACTCTCTGCTGTCATCTATGACGCGTTGTCCATTAGTAGAGGTAATTAGCTTCAAGCAATTCTTATATATGCTTCTGAAGGTACAGACTCATTACTCTTTAACCTTTGCACTCGCTCCACAGGTTGCGTCCTTTCCATCTAGAAAGGTTTTCTATTATGAAATGTCCGACCACG